TATGTACACCTTCATGCTCAAATACTTAGTTATCTATATTTATGTATATTTTCAGAGTTGTTCCAACATTCAGGTCAATAATAAAATGGCTGTCATCCGAGAACACAAGTAGCGTTGTGTTGTGTGCGTTCCATCCACCCACCAACATTCACCCCATATTCCGCTACTACATAGGTACGAACAGTATTTTATCATTTCATGCTGATCGTTTTCAATCTCAATATTTTAATTGAATAAGGTCTATAAAATCGCTAAACCCTGGTGCTATGAGAATATGTTGTGACATCATTCCACGCACCAGGGATTTCAGCCAAACACGAGAGTGGTAATCCGTGCCAATAATATAATAAGGCATGTGTGCACGGTTCTCGGATGTAAGAATGTGCGAACACCTAAAAGAATTTTTTAAATTTGGGAACAGGTGAACCAAGGCACTATTTATATTGTTCTGACAGATTACACCTTATTGATAAAGGGAAATATCAGATGAAAAGGTCATTTGACCAAGCATTGTCACATGCCTACAGATAAACTGTTTTCAGCTGATATTTCTATTTATTCCCAAATGTAATTGCATAGCTGAAGAAGTTTGATGATCCATTTTCGGTATAAATGCAAATTTTATTAACATCTTTCCGGTTTTAACAATCAATATAACCTTGCATCTTGCACTATCCATCAACGTTCTATATATATATATATATTCGCCGATGCAAACTTAAAATTGCGTTGCGTTGGACTCATTTATATTAATCTTTATTCGGTGCTTAAAAGTGCACAAGCCTATAACACATTTATACACATAATATTTACAACTGTACAGAAGACATTACAACTTTAGGAGAGATTTTCTAAGTATAAATGCAAATAGATATACATTCACAGGTTCTGTAAGTGATTAGACTAAGTAGTTTCGTTTGTTAATTGTATGGCCATTTTTATTTCATTTGGATGGGTATTATAAGATGTTAAATATTCCTTTCTAAGCTTTTCACAGGCGGGGCAGATAAAAAGAAAATGGTATTCGTCTTCTTCAGCATTAACGTTACAGAGGTAACAAATTCTATGATTACAAGGAATATTGATATAACGCTCACTTTCAACAAACAAATCATGCGATGAGCAGCGAGAACGTGATAAAGCTACCGAATTTCTTTACAGTGATTTTTTTAATAATATTCTTGACATAGTTCACATTCCCATTGTTTATAATACAGGCATTTAGAAGACAGATATATTGATCCAAGGGTGTTTGTTGATAGATGTGTTTCATTGTCTTTACACAGTGTCTACCACATTCGTCACACGCCGTGGTGCTACATGTGCTAGATTTCAAGCATCTCTATGATTTTTCTGTAAAGAATCATAAGTATTCAAACCCCATGTTTCAGATCCATATGATAGTATTTGGCTTACTGTAACATCAAATATTATAAGGAATGATTTAGATGACATTTCCCCCACATTGCGAATATTTCTAACTACATTCATCAAAACAATTTATGTTCGTTTTAACTAGACAAAACAGGCAGACCCAGATCTTTACGGGTATACAATATAACACAGGCTATAGTGAGTCAGTGAGTAAAACTTTAAAGTCACATCGGCAATATTTCAGCCATATGAATTGTTATATATAGTAATTAATGGTAAATTATAAAAACCTGTCAACGAAGGACAGTAAAATAGCTAGATTATCACAGATATGAATTTATATCTAGCTAATAAATCTAAAACAGTTTAACTATAGATGACAATACTATATAAACACAGGCTATAGATTGCCAACAACTGAAGGTAGATCACCATACTAGGGACCATGGGGACTCACAGTACATTTGCTTCCTGCATTGAACCTAGCTGGATTTACACCACCCCTTCTGGTATTGACAATTTGAGATAGTCTATCCATGGTTTGATCGTTAAGAACAATGAAGATGAAAATCGGTTCGCTGGGGTGAACAAGGACCACAGCATCGATCTACGTAACAGAACCGCGAGGAGACCTCGAACGGCAAGGACAACTAGACCGCTCGGACAAGTAAGATCGAACAGGAGGGGTCGTCTAAAGTGACCAGGAGAAACGGTCAAATCAGAATGGTGAATCCAACTGACTGTAGTTATGGGCTGAGACGAACCAGAAATCCCAGACACAAAAACTGTTGATCAAAGGCCTCCCCGAGAAGCCCGGGGTGCGCCAGATCTCTCAACTGCAAACCAACCCAGAACGGTTCTGAGACGTCGATCAAGGGAAGCGTCCCAAAAAGCTGTCGTACGTCTTCTGAAAAGTACGAATCAGACGAGACATCCACAAAATCCTCAGCTCCGGAAGGCGAGGATTTAGAACGACGAGCCGTGAGTGTGGGGCGAGCCAAACGAGCTTTCTTAGTAGAGGGAGGGTGGTGGCCAGTAGAAGTATTTCTAGCCCTATCTGCAAGCCTACGTGTACAGACCCGTTTATATGCCTTGAAGTCCTCAATAGATAAGCCAGAGTATTTATCATAACGTTTCTCACAGGAACATTGACCCACACAATCAACACACGCAATGTGTGGGTCCCAAGTAGAAAATATCTTCTTACATTGAACGCAAAATTTACGCTTTTCATTAGGAGGATCAGGTTTCCCCATGATACGAAACACAACACAAACTCAAAGATATTACACGTCCACTCTGCCGTGCGTCAAGAAGTAGACTGACCACTCAGAGGTAGTCACGTGGGTTCGTAGGGGAGCATGCTGCACACTTCGTGAGGGACGAGGGACCTGTCCTGAAAGGAGAGCAGCTTGGAGAACACGGGTGTAGGGACAAGAGAGGCCTTCAGGGCGAAGTTTACATTCGTTCCACTCAGTGTCGAAGCAGAGAGAGAACTGCTAATGGTGAGATAGGATAGGTTTAAAATATTGGAATTTATAAATAACCTACATTATCTATAAATAATATATATTATAATAACAGCACTTTCTCATTACAGGCATGAACAAATCATCTTCTTCTGACCAACTCTACCACTGCAGCCTGGAAATTCTCATAATTATTACATTTGTTACTTGTTGTTGGTATTTCCTAGCTTTCTTTATGGGGCTGATCAATTCATTTTTATCTTTCTTTATATGTGTATCCAAACATTTCTTATATTCTTTGGAACATCGGCCCATGGTGATCTACCTGCAGTTGTTGGCGATCTATAGACCGTGTTTTATACTGTTTTAGTTTTACATGCTAGTTTTATATTCACATCTATTATACTATAATATCTTTACTGTCCATCGTCAACAGATTTTATTCTTCAAAATTGTTTTCGTCACGGTATGGCTGAGATATTGCCGACGTGACGTTAAATATTCACTCACTCACTCACCTTTGAACATCCGCGATATTCAGCCTTATCAAAATTAGTATGCCTTTTGAAAAATGAACGTTTGCATTTTTTGAAAGCGTTTACGTTTTACTCGACATTATTTTCCAAAATAAGGCCTATCACTGAGATCTTATTTCGACACTGGTGGAGGCGAGCGTCTCACACCAAACGTTGCACGTGCTGCGTCACCCAGGAGACGCTACCTCAGTGGCAAACTCACTGACTGCACGTGCTGGGTCGTCGTGACCTGGTGTCAGTTCCATGAAATAAATTTTCTTGATAATATTTACCATTGTTTGGCTTTATATATGTCATACCGCTTGGTTTTGTAAAAACGTTTCTCGATGATTTGTTTATGAGGAGGTTTTCAGTTAGTATAATTAAATGAGAACGTGATGAGTGAGTGAGTTAAGTCACATCGGCAATATTTCAGCCATGTCGTGACTAAAAGTATTTCTCAATTCATAACACATATACTGAAAGCCATTAAAAGCGCAATTGGTGTTTGTAGTCCTGGAACTTACAACAAGTTATATTGAAGATCTTATTTTCCTCGATACAGAGGATGTAAGGATAAAAGGCTGTTATGGTGACCCGTTTCGAGTTTGAGTCCCCGAGGATTCCTCTCACATGAACTTCGATGCTTAAAACTGAACCAAATTGCATGTTTGTCATAAATTTGGCCCTAGTGTGAATAGTTTTCTATCATAATGCCAAAATTTAAAGACAACAGAATTTCCAAAGTCATTGTGATTTGTCAATAAGAAAAAAACTCACGATAAGTCTAAATACATATATTTATCCGCTATAGAGTTTCAATATTGCTGAGTGTGGCGTTGAACAACAGACGTGAATATCAAAAACCCAAATTTCAAGGTCAGAGTATTGCTGATAGAGATACTGTGGGGACATGCATCGGTATACGTCAGGAGCAAATATACAACAGTCCTGATGTGTCGCGGAGTGATAATTACCAGAACAAAAGTGGTTATTATCAATTTTAAAAAAAAGAAAGTTCAAAAAACATTTTGCCTCCTCTAGGCCTTCGTAGTAAAGAGCAAAGCTTCTGCTCTCCCAGTGTCAGTTTCAATCACGTGAAGTCCGTGCAATACCGTTGCTCCGACTTACGGCGGCCGACAAGCTGATGGTGAAGCGGCATTAGCCAGGTTATAAAACTTGGACAGACTGTACACAGGTGCGGTGGCCTGTGAGGCTGTGATACCGATGTGGATTGGAAAGTTTGACAAGCTGTACACGAATTGATTGCGAGAGGTCACACACCGTTCTGCCTACAGTCCCCATTTGGGAAAGATTTCCGCCCTTTTTTTATCCCCTACCTATGCTTAAGAATAGATATTAATTTCTGAAAAGGGGCGCTTATTTATTTTTGGGGGGTTTTAAGCGTTTAAAGGGGATTCAGAAGTTTTGGGGCATAAAAAGATTTTATAAAAGGTTTAGTTGCTAGCGTCTATTTTCTTATCCTACTCAATCACATCCAACCTCACCCCCGTGTAGCAGGGATAACTGACTTGATCTTTTGTATATATCGTATGTTTTCTTTATTTAATTGTATGTTCATCTTTCCATTTGTTGCATCAGCCATCTTTCATATCATTATCTGTTAAATGTCCATTTGTTATGTTGTCCGTGTTTGCTGTTGAACGCCGCCTCTTAATTTTCACCTTTTTTATCTGTTTCCAGGAGCCTTGTTGACAAGGATTTCCCTTCACCTCTGTTCTATTTTTTGATTCAGTACCCACCTTCTGGGCTTTCCCTATTCTATTTATAAGTCACATCAAAGGCTTCCTTTGATGTGTTATCTGTCCTCTAATTGGCTATTGTGTCCCCCAGTCTACTTCCTTTGGCATACCTGTCTTCCACCTCACTCCAATTGCTGTTGCTGAGGTGGAAACATCTTTTCTTTCTTCAGGTATGGCCATTTTCTAATCCTTTTCCATCTGCCTCAATTTAGGGGTAATATATAATTTATAATTTTAAACTTTAAAGCAATTAATTATAACTTGTATACATTGTATTGACCATGTGCATGGACCATGTGCTCTCCATACATTTACAAATTTGTTTTGCAAAAGGTTTATTGATTACTTTGGCTAACTGATACTTGTTTACAATGCATAATATAGTTAATGTAAATTTAATATTTTAAGACTCCAATTGCTGTTGCTGAGGTGGAAACATCTTTTCTTTCTTCAGATACCTCAGCAACAGCCTCATAATAAAATCATACCATCATCACAATTGTTTTGTCTTGCACCCAACGGCCCAGAGCCGAAATTCCCAAGGCGACCTCGGCTACACCCGCACTACATCCCTTCTTCATGCTCTGCTGCTTCCGGAAACTGGGAGAGAGAATATATAGTATTAACTATCAACTAATTATAATGTGCAAATGAAACATTCTATCATGCAAATGAACATAACTAACTAAGGCTGGAATCGAACCCGTGCCGCTGACTTGATAGTCCACTGGTGTTACCTCTGTGCTACAGAGGACGATGACGGCTGAAGTGAATATGATCGTTTTGAGCTTATGTGTTACTTATGAATGAGACTGACATAATAAAACCTTATTGTTGATTTCATATAAGCGTGTGTTATTGCCGTGATCATGTGAGCATCGCATTAAAATGTGAATACATTAATGAGTTCTTTGCTGTTGTTTATTATAGCTTGTGTCCTTGTCATATTAAACATTTAACCAAACTGAAACCAGTCATCCATGACACTGTCAATTGATCCCGATTTAAGCGTGACTATTGTCTGTTTCATATGCTGCATGGCTTGTAAGTTTCGTTTCCCACAGGATGTGTTGCTTTTTCCATCACTTATTTAAATTGAATTGAGCAGTGTGAGCACATTATTGGTGTGCAGGACTATGTCTAACAAGAGGAAGATCGATCAATCCCGTGATCTATTTGATAGTGACAGTGATTCACCTATTCCTTGTGCACAAACAAAGCGCAGAGAGACTTTTACATCCTCTGAAAGTGATGATTTATTCTTAGACCCAACCCCTGTGGATAAATTGGATTTCGTAACTGACGTTCCGAGCTCTTCCACACTCCAGGATACGAGTGGTAGTAATTCTAGTGGCGAAACTTTCTTTTCTTTGTGCCAAAAGTTGGGTTCGGAACCCTCGGCAATTAAATATTGTCAGACTAAATGACTGTTACCCACATCTGGTAAATGTCGTCACTGTTCTGACCCCATAACCAAACTCCAAAAAATTGTGCCAAATCTCATACGTATCCCCAGTACCGTTTTCAATGCAACAAAAACAAATGCAAAAAAAGTGGTCAAAATTGTGTCCCTTTAAGAAAGGGAACGTGGTTTGAGGCCAGCAATTTAAGCATTAGGAAAACTTTACTGATACTGTATTGCTTTGGAAAAACAATCCCCTATACCCTCTGTGCGGAAGAGACTACATTTCCGGCTGAAGGTAAAGGCACCAGTAGAGAAACAATTTCCGATTATTATAATTATTGCAGAGAGGTCTGCAATGCTGCGACAGAGGAATCCCGTGCAACAACAATAGGGGGTGCTAATTGCACCGTTGAGATTGACGAGGCCAAATTCGGTCGTCGCAAATATAATCGTGGACGATTAGTGGAGGGAACTTGGGTGTTTGGGGGGATTTGCAGAGAAACCCGTGATTTCTTCCTAGTCCCTGTGGAGCGCCGAGATGCCCAGACATTGCTCCCACTAATTGAGAGGCACATAAAGAAGGGGAGTACAATCATATCAGTGGGCTGCATATAGAGGAATCAGTGATCTAAGATACGTTCACGAGACGGTTAATCACTCGAACAATTTTGTTGGTAAATATTTCCCTCATTATATACTTATATATTCTGTTAGTAATTATAATGTATGTTGTGTACATATCAAAAACATAATTCACTTGTTCCAGATCCAGAGAGCAAAGCTTGCACTAATTTAATCGAAAATCGGTGGTGGTGCGTGAAGCGTCAGCTTCCCTGAACGCATTCTACACGAAAAAACTTCGGACACCATTTGGCTGAATACATATGGCGCTCATGTGTAGTTAAAAAACAGACCAGCCTTTGAAGCTTTGATAGAAGCCATCAGAGCACAGTACCCATTATAACGGGGAGTACAATAAGTCGTGCCATTAACATCATGTGATTTGCTTGTAGCTCCCCACAGCGACAACTCCTTGTGTACATTATAGAGCGCCGTTGAGAGCTTTCACCCTTGCCTTCTTCCACTTCCGTGGTGCAATCACAGGTTCGATACTCATTTCGTTCCAAATATTTTTTATTGATATATCAATAGTTTCCTACTTGTATATATTACTTACCCTGTACATTTCAATTCTCGATCAAATACAACTAGCTGCCTATCATTTTCAATTCATAAATTGTACATAGATGTTTCGTTGGGCTTTTTTGTCTGTTAGTCTGTCCAAGTTTTATAACCTGGCTAAGGCCACGGCACCATAGGCTGCTCGTCCACTGTGTGTTGGTGGAACTGTAGTGCACGGACATCCCGTGGTTGAAACTGACACGACACACTGGGACTCGCGTCAGGACGGCAGAAGTTCAGGGCCCCGTTCCTCAAGGCGATCGTAGCGCTACGACAGTCGTAAGTCTATGTTAAAGTATAGGAGTTACGATCACCTTAGCGCTACGATCGCCTTGAGGAACGGGGCCCAGCTCTTTATATTCGGGTAGTCTGTATTTTAAGAGTCAGTCTGAGAAATTAAGAAAATACACAAACATGTCCCCTTACTCTGCCGTTTATAACTTGTTTTGGCCACTATATGGCTGAAATACTGCCGATGTGACAAGAAATCGTAACTCATTGAGTCGAATACCCCAGCAACGCGTCTGTGTACAACCAGTTTGACTGCTGATTCGAATGACCTTGAGACTCATAATTTAGTTAAGGTAAATTGGAATATTACAAGTATGGTTTAATATATGCCATACCTAGCAGTTACCTACATATATAGGATTTCTTTTAGATTATTTAATTAGGTTTAGTCTGTCGCCTGAACAACATTATTTCCACTTCCCAGCCCATCAGTACTGCAATGTTAAAGCCCAAAATAGAGTAAGTCTAGATTTCCTCAGGTTCATGGTCTGTAATCATCTGGAGGAAAACTCACATAAGTGGGCGGGTTACTAAGTCAACTGCCATCCAATAGCTTCCAAATGTTGCTAGTCAGTCGGGCTAGCTATGCCTGAAAGTTACTAGCCTACGTAGACAGAAAGTTGAATGAAGACACGAGTTTCACCATTAAGCTACTAATTTGATGAACATTTGTGTAACAGGCGTGGTTCTCTCGTTTTGTAGAAACTACATGTTAAGTGTGTGAGTCTTCTTTGCGTTGTGTGATTTCCATTCCAACTTGCATGTTTGCCACAAGAGGGTACGTTTCAGGTATAAACATGTCAGTGCACAAGCAGAATTGTCCTCCACGCTGTTTCCCAGTTACGAGATGCAGCCTTGCGATTCAGGACAACTCCCAATGGAATAAACAATACAAAATATATATCTAAACAAAAGAATAAATTAGTATCAAAAATCCCCCACCTACCCCTAAACTAGTGTACATCTATTATAATATATCACTGACTTAACTCGGCGGTAGTTGATGATCTTAAATCCACCCGTCCATCCCGTCTTCTAGCATTTTCCCTTTCTATATATAAATAATATATATATAATATTTACCTTAATATTTCCATTGAAACGCATGGTTCCATCTCTGGCAGTTTTACTGTCCTTCGCCGACAGGTTTTTATAATATACATATATTACATTTCAATGTCAAATATGTTCTCGTCACGAAATGGCTGCAATATTGCCGATGTGACGTTAAATAATAACTCACTCACTCCATACTAGGGCAAATGTAACATTGGTTCCCATGTTGTATCCTGTTCTCAGTTGGGGAAAGCTTTGATTCATTCTGACATTGGGGATTTGGTTTGGCCGATGGCTAAGTACAACGTACGCTTCCTTAAACTCACTGTATCTGCCACGGAGGTTGACTTCTTTGAATTTTACATTCTGGTTGGTCTGAAATAATAGAAATGAAGTCGGTTAATAGTGTATAGATTATTGAAGTTTAAACAAATGTAGTATTGCAATGGTTTTGTAGTTTATTTAGTTAATGGGTGGATCATTGTTGGTGATGCATCTTTGATAATGTAATGTAAATGTATGTTATAGATTGAAATAAATTATGATGTCATATTTCTGTAAAATATGATTGTATACAAGACATAGATCACAGACATTTTTAGATTGTCTAAATTATTACAGCTTAGACAGATATTTCACCCTAGTTCAAATTCTAATTTCACCTTACTTAAATTTTCAGACCTAAAGTACTGTCGGAAATAGAAAAAAACTCTGTATTTTCTCATTTATCTCTACAATTTATGTAGTTATGTGAAAGTGTGATATATATGTTAAACTATGTTCAGCCTAATTACAGTCTCAGTGGTAGGGAGATTGGAAACGTAGAAAAAGGACTTTACTGAGGAGAGATTAGTGCAGAAATGAGCAATGCGTTTTTTATTAAGTCCAAAACGTCTTACTTGGAACAGACCATGGCTTTATGCCAATTTGTGTGCGACGATATTGTATTACAAAGGACACTTTTTAATGCCCAATTTGAAATTAGACGTAGATTCATTATAAACGATAGCTGACGAACAAAAAATAATAACGTATATGCTGAAAATATTAAGGATGTTGCTACCATGGAGTCTCACTGTCACTATAAAAAGAAACAGATATGAGGGGTCGTCTCAAAAGCAAAACCTTGGATCGTGCTGGGGGAAAAAGAGATATCAGCTAAGATAAGATAAGCCTTTAGGGCAATTAAACTGGGGATGTACACGACACGTCATAACAATTTACAAATAATGCCACCGATATACTACGATGTGTTTCTTTGGTTTTCGGGTATCATACTCTTTTACATATCTCAACATAAACTTTATGAAAGAAAGACACGTAAGATGTTAATCAAGAGATGAGACATAGTCAACATACATGAAAAAGCACAAAATATCTTTGAGATGACCCCTTGTGCATGTAGGCAGCACGTGCATTTCATTTCAGGTGAGTCGACGGTCCGTCGTTATACCTGGCTGAGCGACCTAATTGTCATCTATATTCTGATCTATTGTTTTCAGCAGCTGTTCTTGTTTTCAGCAGCTATTCGTATTTTTATTAAGTTTTGCCCGATTTTA